ACTTTGAATTCATCATAAAAATACAGAATATTAAATTAATAAACTCTAAAAATAGATAAAGAGAAAACTAGAGGCAACAGATACGTTGCTCTACAGAAGGCTACTGAGAATTCCATGAACGGAGCGAGTAAGCAGTGAGGAAGTCTTAAATAAAATGAGAACTCAGAATCAGAAAGATATAGCTGAAATTTTCTGGTTACGTAATGAGAAAGGGGGGCTTGGAAGACTTAACGCTCACAAGGTATATCAAGGTAAAGAGAAAGAAAATAGCTGCCTGAGCTTGTGGGAATGAATGGCGGAACGGGGAGACGTAGCCAAGAGCGACTAGTTGTGGAGAGCCATGATCGCCATAATCCTAAAGGGAGACGGCACATAGAAGAAGCGAAGTTCTATGACAACTTATTTTTTCTCTGTTCCTAGGACGGTTATTCGGTTAGTATGAGAAATTAACAGTCTTTGGTGGAAATTTGGAACGTTAACTACGAAGCCCTCATCATTACATAACTTTTAAAGAAATGACTCTCGAAAAATCCATCTTGTCCATTTACTAAGGCACCTCGTTAGTGTTTAATTAGTCCCTCAGCTGGCCAGGCATCATACAGACGAATCCGCTAATTGCGATTAGTTTGGGGCAGGATCTTTAAGATAACAATAAACGATAGATAACATTAAGCAAAGAATATTGACAAATAGGAACGGAACGGATCTCACCAGAAAACCTTTTCTGTTTTAGTGATTACTTGCATCATGGGAAAATTAATTCAGTTTTTATTGGTTTTATTTCACACACCCCCTACACACACACACACTGTTATGTGCTTCGTTTAATTTGTTTAATGGCATATCAATTCCTTATTGTTCTACAGAAGGCTACTGAGAATTCCATGAACGGAACGAGTAAACAACGAGGAAGAAATTTAATTTTCTTGGGAGCTTTGATAATTGTTATTTTTTTTTTTTTGTTTTTTGTTTTTTGTTTTGTTTTGTTTTAATATTCAAATCTATTGCTGAAAATTTTCCCTACAAAAATGTATCTTTTATACTTTCGTAGTGTTTTGGCCCCAGTTTGGGGGTTCACTATTTGCCCATAGCTGGGACCCTAACAGGTGCTACCACCCCAGATCAGGGTAGACCTTGGAACAACAACAATTAAGAGGTCGTTCCACGCTCCTCAAAAGCTCCCAGTCAGAGATGTGGTTGCCGGATGTAGTTTATCGTCATACTAAGGACGAAACAATTTACGGCACTACTTCAATTGAGTGGTCCCTCGCGCAAAAAAAAAAATATATATAGGGGAAATATTTTTTTGTAGATTAGCATTTATTAGACATTCTTCAAGACGCGACATTTGTCGGAATCAAAAAATATTGAATTTTTTTATCATTTTAGGAACGGGGGGCGGGGTCTTGTTTATAATATAAATACAGTGTCAAATCGATCCTATTAATTTTTAAAGAGTTATATGTCCATTGTTTTATTTACAAGTTTGAATTTGTGTTTATGTCATTAATAATTGCGTATTATTACAAATTGAGGAAAACAGTTTCAAACTTGACATCTGTAAATAAAAATAAAGTAAAGTTAACTCTTTAAGAAGTCAGGGATCAATTTTACACTGTATTCATATTATGAATAGAGCCCCCATTTTAAAATGATAAATATTTTTCGATTCTAAAAACGTCGTGGACAAAGGTAGGTATCAGTCAGTTATGTGCCATGCGTGATACATGCTTTTGTGATCATGTATCTTTCGATACATGACTGATGGGGCAGATTTTTTTCTGCAGTAGGTTGCCATTTCTTTCTTTCAGTTGCCATCCAAGACTATAGAACTCGTCTGTCCTTCTATCTACCCATAACTGAGGAGAGAAGAAGAGGATTCATACCATTCCCAAGAGTATTAGCACGTAAGCTAATGCAATGGATTCGACTGGAATTCGAACTCGGTGCTCCGATTCCTCCATCCGAGCCGCTATCCACGGCGCCTGTAGGCATAATGAATGCTAATCTACAAAATTTATCCTCCAGCCCAAACATTTTCAACGTTTTTTGTTTTATTTTGTTTGTTTTTTTTTGTTTTTCATGAGAGGACCAGTTAACTTAAGTAGTGCCCAATATAACTTCATTGTTAAAAAAAGAAAAAAATATTCAAATATTTATTGTGAATAACCATACATTTTAGAAAAATATTGAATCCTCCTTGAAGCATTGTGATAAAATTAAAACCGTGATGTTTTCAAACATCCCATTTAAAATATTATAGATATATCGTATATTCCTTGATGTCCTCGTTTTATATTGTCGTGACTTTTTTTCTGGTTTTTATTTTTTAAAATAAAAAAAAAAAAAAAAGAATTAAAGACTTTATTTTGAAAAATCGTATCGAAAGGTCAGTAGTAAAATATGAATTTGTAAATTTCAAATATTCAAAAATAGGATTCATTTTATTTTCAGTATAATCTTTTAAAACAATTTACAATCAGACAGAACACAGTGAGAAGTGGATTCATGCCTTTCTCAATGGATAATGCTCTAATGTGCTAGGTCGAATCAAACAGCCTCAGCTTAAGTTCGAACCTCTCCGTACCAATCATACCATGCCACATATTAAACCTACCTTCAAACAGAAGACTTCCATAAGACTGCGGGACATTTTCACAGAAGTAGTACTGTGGAATTTTCAAATACTTCATTTCAAATATCATAAATTTAGTTATTAATTTGTAATTATTAATTCTATTAATTATTAATATTATAGATTTGGTTATTGATTTCTAATTATTAATTATTAATATTATAGATTTAGTTATTAATTTCCTTCTTATATATTGATTTGAGTGTTTTTATTTTATATTATTTTGAAAAAAATTAACGAAAGTCAATATTAAAATATGAATTTGTCAGCTTCTTGAATTCAAAAATAGAATTCATTGTATGGTCTTTTAAAACAATTTATGATCAGAAAGACCACCAGGTCAGGTGGATTCATGTCCTTTTGAAGGATATTAGAAGTAGGTCGAGATATGCAGCCTCGTTTTAGATTCAAACGTATCTCGTACCAAACACACGACGCTAGCCTGATAAAATTTTGTCTAAGCTTCCATTAATACTACGTGGTATTGGCACATCAGTTTTGTTTTAGGGGTTTTTCAAACACCCCATTTAAAATATTTAGTTTTTAATTTCTTTATGCACAGGTGGTGCATGTGAAATTGGAAGAGCCAAGTTCGAATTCCACTCGGGTTCATTACATTCATTTACGCGCAAATACCCTTAAGAAAAGAATGAATCCATCTCTCCCTCCAGCTATGGGTTCAATAGCAGTACAGACTGGATCCTATAGTTTTAGTAACAGAAGTAATTTTATTTTAGCATATCTTGTCTTCGTTTCGTTTCACCGGTAATACTTATGCTGTTTTCTTTTGTTACTCTGGCAACTTTACGTTGTAAATAATAATAATGAGGTTATCTTGGCATATATATTTACCATAATTATTAAACAGTCTTTATTGCTAATGAATCTACAAAGGTTGCGTGTATTTTAGGTGTGTGCGTGTTCATAAAGAAGAAGCATACAAAAATTAGGGAGTTCTACTACAGACAATTTACTTTTTTTATGATGACTTATGAAAATTCTCTTGGGTATGTCAGTTTTCCTTTTGCGTTCAGAAGTAAGTCATGGAACATAAGGATAACAATGTATGAAATGGTCGAGCTTTGCGCTGAGTTGGAACGGCTAAATTACATACTTTATAAGTAGGGCTTTCAAGGCATGTCCGAACGATGTTGTTGGAAATTAGAAAAAAAAAAAGAAACATTCTGTCCTTTCCGGAAGTGGGGGTCATAAAATCGCACATGTCACCAGAATCCTTTTCTGTGTTAGTCATTACTTGCATCATGGGAAAATTAATTCATTTTTTATTGGTTTTATTTCACCCCCCCTCCACACACACACTGTTATGTGCTTAGAATTAACACAAATATAATGACTAAAACTATAGTCTCCTTGTACTTACAAGGAGACTATACTTGACAGATCTATTCAGAAAACTACTCGACAAATCTTGAAAATTTGGCAATAATTTAATCTAGCGGTTTGGCTTCAGTCACTTTCCCACTGTCGTAAGGTTGCCTAGCTGTATCTTTTCTGTAAATATTTTCATGTGACTTGTTCGGATGAGCACTTCGCTATGATTCCTAGGCTTTTTAAATTTAAGCGCAGTGCTAGACTGGCGTCGAGATCTCATCAATTTGCAGCTGAGCTGGCTAGATGTAGACATAAGTTCTATGCTAACAGTTTCTTTTCTCGCACTCCTTTTCTTGTGGAACTCTCTTCCAGCTCCAACTTTTATCTGCAAAAATTTAAATGCAATGCCAATCGCTATCTACTGTCTGATTGATCTTTCTGTTCATCATTAATGTTTTGTTCCTAATTCTTCCGCAACTTTAACCCCTTGTGTCTTAGTAGCTTTACTCTCTTACATGGGGTGATACCGATAAAAAAAATACACTTGCGAAATATTAAGGAACAAATTTTTCGTCGGTGTCCAAATATTCCACAGTACAAATTAAGGATTAAGTCATGTTTAAAGTGTTAGGATCTGACTAATGTTGATTACAATAAACATTTAAGTAATATTATTAGTGAATATAATAATGAACTTTCACTGTTAGCATGTAGGGAGTTCGATTTTCACTAGGTGCTCCTATACTGGTAGCCTTATGCCAAAACTATGTTACGCTTAACAAATACCTATCGTGTCGGGCGTTGGTCGGGTCACGACACGGGTTTCAACTTAGACAAGGAAGTTTAGAATAAATAAATATAAGCAAGTAAATAAATAAAAATTAAGACTTGTCCTTATATTTGATCTTTTTCGTTTTCTTTTTTCAGAAACACGCTGACAATAAAAAGTTGGGCGTAACACGTCAAACATCTATTAGTTGACTTCCATTGAGTAAACAGTAAATACCAACAACTTCTCCAGCTGTGTTTACCGTCATAAATTATTAGGGGCGGGGGTTTTACAACGTAAGACGTTTGAGAAAGAAGTTGTAATGGGGGAAAAAGGACAGGGAAAGTGGGGAGAGAATGAAGAATAGTAGGCGGAAGAAGGATAAAGAGAGAGAAAGAAAGTATAGAAGGGAAAGGAAAGAAGGAAGGAGAGAAGAAAAAAGGAGAAGGAAGATGAAAGCGAGAGAAGAAGGAAGGAGAGATAATGAGAGAATGAAGGAGAGATAAGAAAAGAGAAGAGAAGGAAGGAGGGAGAGAGAAGAGGAGAAGAAAGGGAGAAAAAAGGAGAAGAGAGAGAAAAAGCAAGAAGAACGTAGAAAAGGAGAGAGAATGAAGAAGAGATAAGAGAAGAGAAGAAAGGGGGAGAAGAAAAGAGAAGAGAAGAAAGGGGGAGAAGAAAAGAGAAGAGAAGAAAGGGGGAGAAGAAAAGAGAAGAGAAGAAAGGGGGAGAAGAAAAGAGAAGAGAAGAAAGGGGAGAAGAAAGAGAAGAGAAGAAAGGGGAGAAGAAAAGAGAAGAGAAGAAAGGGGGAGAAGAAAAAGAGAAGAGAAGAAAGGGGGAGAAGAAAGAGAAGAGAAGAAAGGGGGAGAAGAAAAGAGAAGAGAAGAAAGGGGGAGAAGAAAAGAGAAGAGAAGAAAGAAATAAGACGAAAAGAGAAGAGAAGAAAGGGAGAGAAGAGAAGAGAAGAGAAGAAGGAAATAAGACGAAAAGAGAAGAGAAGAAGGAAATAAGACGAAAAGAGAAGAGAAGAAGGAAATAAGACGAAAAGAGAAGAGAAGAAGGAAATAAGACGAAAAGAGAAGAGAAGAAGGAAATAAGACGAAAAGAGAAGAGAAGAAAGGGGGAGAACAGAAGAGAAGAGAAGAAAGGGGGAGAACAGAAGAGAAGAGAAGAAAGGGGGAGAACAGAAGAGAAGAGAAGAAAGGGGGAGAACAGAAGAGAAGAGAAGAAAGGGGGGAGAAAGAAGAAAGAGAAGAAAGGGGAGAACAGAAGAGAAGAGAAGAAAGGGGGAGAACAGAAGAGAAGAGAAGAAAGGGGGAGAACAGAAGAAAGGGAGAGGAGAAAAGAGAAGAGAAGAAAGGGGGAGGAGAAAAGAGAAGAGAAGAAGGAAATAAGACGAAAAGAGAAGAGAAGAAGGAAATAAGACGAAAAGAGAAGAGAAGAAGGAAATAAGACGAAAAGAGAAGAGAAAAAGGGGGAGAAGAGAAGAAAGGGGAAGAAAAGAGAAGAGAAGAAAGGGGAGGAAAAAGAGAAGAGAAGAAAGGGGGAGGAGAAAAGAGAAGAGAAGAAGGAAATAAGACGAAAAGAGAAGAGAAGAAAGGGGGAGGAGAAAAGAGAAGAGAAGAAGGAAATAAGACGAAAAGAGAAGAGAAGAAAGGGGGGAGAAGAGAAGAAAAGGGGGAGAAAAGAGAAGAGAAGAAGGAAATAAGACGAAAAGAGAAGAGAAGAAAGGGGAGGAGAAGAAAGGGGGGAGAAGAGAAGAAAGGGAAGAAGAAAAGAAAGGGGGAGAAGAAAAGAGAAGAGAAGAAAGGGGGGAGAAAAGAGAAGAGAAGAAAGGGGAGGAGAAAAGAGAAGAGAAGAAAGGGGGGAGGAGAAAAGAGAAGAGAAGAAAGGGGGAGGAGAAAAGAGAAGAGAAGAAAGGGGGGGAAGAAAAGAGAAGAGAAGAAAGGGGAGAAGAAAAGAGAAGAGAAGAAAGGGGGAGAAGAAAAGAGAAGAAAGAAAGGGGGAGAAAGGGGGAGAAGAAAAGAGAAGAGAAGAAAGGGGAGAAGAAAAGAGAAGAGAAGAAAGGGGGAGAAGAAAAGAGAAGAGAAGAAAGGGGGAGAAGAGAAGACAACAGTAGCTATTCAGATCTTACAGTGCTAATAGCCAACACAGAAAGAAAATGCAGGAACTCCTAGAGAAAATTGTAAAAGAAAGCAAGAAGAAAGGACTAATCATGAATTGTAAGATTAGAATGCATGGTTATCGGCAAAAAGAACAATAAAAGATGCGAATTACAAATTGTAGGTGCCAAAATCAAGTAAGTACGAAAATTTAAATATCTAGGAAGTGTTTTAATGGAGGGCGGGAAAGTGCGACGCAGAAATTCGAAGGTGCATTGGAATAGTGAAAGATGCCTTCCAAAAGCTAAGCAAAGTATTAAAAAACAGAAAAATTTCGTTAGAAACAAAGAAAAAAGTACTGAACTATTACGTAATATCAGTCCATCTCTATGGCAATGAATCTTGGATAATCTCCTCAAAGCTGAAGAAACTTGAAGCAACAGAAATGTGGTTCTACAGAAGGATGCTGAGGATACCATGAACATGCGGGCAAAGACGAAGTTTTAGAGAAAATGGAAATAAAAAGGACACTTAGAATCAAAAGAAGCTGTTGAAATTTCTAGGGCACATAATGAGGAAAGAGAGCTTGGAAAATTTTATACTCACAGGAACAGACTAATGGCAAGAGGGCCAGAGGAAAACAGTACATGACCCATCTAGAGAAGTTGAGTAAATGGATGGCAGAATAGGGTTTAGAAATAATAAAAAGACAAAATTAATTAAGAGCTACAAAAGACAGGAAAATGTGGAGAGTCATGGTCGCCAACGTCCTGAAGAGACACAGCACATAGAAGAAGAAGAGTCTATATTGTTTTATCAGATCCTCTCACAAAAAAAGAATGTTCTTAGATCTATTATGCAGTAGTAAATATGTGTCTTTGTTTTGATGTAAAATACACAAAGACGGATATGCAGTGTGATAGGTCCTGACCTGGCATCTCGACTCCAGTCATTTTCTCACCGGTATAATGTGGCTTCCTTTCTGCCTCTTCTATAAATATTTTCATGGCATCTGTCAAGACGAGCTATTTTAATGGTGCCCAGGTTGCCTGAATTTAAGCGTGCTACTTGGTGGCTTCCCTCTGTCTTTTCTATAAATATTTTCATGGCATCTCTTCTGACGAGCTTTTTTAACTGGTGCCCCGACTGCTTGAATTTAAGCGTGCTAATTGTTGAGCATCCCGGTCTCATACTTTTACTGTCAGACAGTTAAATGTAACCGCCACTTCTACTTCAACAGCTTCTTCTCTCGCACTTCCCAACAGTGGAACTCCCTTCCTCTTACTTGCTTCCCTGATAGCCACAATCTTCAAATATTCTAATGTAATGTCAATCGACATCTTGTATTGTCTTCATCGCCGTTCTTTTTATCTTTTCCTCAACCCCCCCCCCCCAGACCCAGTCGTATTTACACTTTCTTTAGCCCCTTGCGTACGAGTGGCACCCCTCCCCTTGCTTGGGTAATTGCTTAAAAAGTTTCGCTTTTAGCTTGTGCTTATTTTCTGGGATGAGAGACATTTTCGTATATGAAACCTAAAATTTTTAGAAGGTAATGTTTTGAAAATAAATAAAAATGATAAACGAAGTTTTCTGATTTGATTTTTTTTTTACGGATTATCAACCCATTTCAGGTTATTTACAGCCAAAAGATATTTTTGATTGTTAGAATTTTTTGGAGATAATGATTTACTGATAAAAAGTTGTAAGTAATCCATAGCTTGGGATGGAGAAAAGATGGATTTATACCTTTCTCCAAGGGTATCTGTGCGAAGTTGATATAACTAATCTGACTAGAACTCAGCTCTCCGATTTCTATTTACTTTTCGTTATCCATTACACCATCCGCACATCCAAGCTTACAGCAGCTGGTATTCCCAATTGGTCACCCATCTAGGTACTGACAAGGCTCGACGTTGCTTAACTTCGGAGATCGTATAAGGACTAGCGTTTCAACGTAGTATGGCCGTAAGCCCAGATTTATTTCACCCTCACCCTTTATTTTTTTTTTCAATTCTTTTGGCTTAGGTACGGCCCTAATTTTCATTATTGTTATATTCCATATCCATTCAGGAAGGGAACTATCATGGGTCTCAACAACTTCCGGTTTTGTCTTGCCTCCTTCCTAAGTTTTAGTACTTTACCATCCCTTTTTGTCCTTGTTCTGGCATCCATTCACACAAACGCCTTGTTTCCGACTCCTTGCTTCTATTAACTTCAGTATGTGCTGTGTGTGTTAAATCCTACAAGCCTTCTTTCATCATGTGTCACAGAATTTTCAGTCGTCTGGTGGTAAGTATACGTTTTCTTGTAGCTACCATTTTCTTTGAACTTTCCATAGTGCTCGCATATTCTGTCCATGACAATGTCAGCATTCGCCGGTAGAAACATTTTTCGTTTCAAATCTCTTCCACATCTAAAGAATTTTGTGGTTGCTATCATTTTGCTGCCATTTCGCATTTAAAAATAGTTCCTCTTTGTATACGGATAGCACACCTGAACGTAGAATGGGCCGACTGAAATGCTTTGGGAATAACAAGCAAAACAATTAAATCAAACGTTTCAAGAGTGCCGAATTAAATGGATCTCGTGGTCGAAAAGACCTGGAAGGCCCGAAATTAATGGCATCTGATCCTGCGAATCAAAGTCTTTCTATTTTTATTTTTTTTGCCTACACAAAAAGTTTAAATGTTTGAATTGATAGAAAGATTACTTATATAAGATTCCCTCGATTAGTGCGGCTAATATGTACAGTAAAAGATACGCACTAATCGAAAACGGATTAATCCAACTTGTAGGAAATGATGTAATCTGTACCTCAAATGTTAGACTCATTCACAAATAATTTCTAATTTGCGTACTTTTTAATTAAAATATAGAGACATTTTCTATTTTTGGAAATTTTCCAAACATATGATCTTTAGTATTTTAATCTGAAAAAATTGTATTTATAATCTTTCCATAGAAGCGATTTTCGAAGCATAGCTTAGATGTGGCATAAGGTTGAGAGTATGGGGCACCGAGTGTGGAACGAACTCACGCTGCAGTCGTAACTGTTTTAGCGAGACAAGTTTGCTAACCATTTACAGCGCCTCGAGGAGCCCTAATCTTCCCATAGTAAATGCGTACATCTTTTAGATTTCGATATTTCTTAATAAATGTAAATTTCTGTATCTAATTGAATTGTACATTTTTTTTTATAACAAAACAATCAGAAATTTCCTTTTAAGACCTTCGAAATAAACATGGAAAAAATAAATAAAATTCAAAAAAATTGAATTTTTATTATCGCCTTATATTATCAAATGTATCTATGACCGTCCATTTTTTAACACTACTGTAATTGCTAACAGAATACTTGAAAAAGAAAATAGTTTATAAAATAAGACATCTCGGCTGATTTGCAGGCAAATAAACTAACATACTCAAGAGCGAGAGCCGGGTGTGAACAGGACAAGGCCCCGTCACAAAATGACCATTATCGTCGTTTACGCATAGGCCCGAGGCACGAGTTCCGGTCGAAAAATAAAATATTTTAAAGCGTTTCTATTTTTCGACCAATAAAAATGCCTCCCTCCTAATTATACTCGCGTCATTTTTCGAGCCTGTTAAGCCATAAAAACGCCATAAAAGGGGTCACACGTTGAAGTACAACAGCAGGCCAAGGAAGAGACCTGTCATTGTCAGTCAGCAGGAGGAGGAGCGCCACGCCAACCAGTGACGACTACTATGAGAGATCAACCCAGATCGGAGGCCGGCTTATGAACTATGCCACAAGGTAGCTGTCCTAAAACCACACGTTCCTATTGAAATAAATCACGTAAATCTATTTCTGTTGTATTTCTTTCTTGCAACCATACGCTTGTCTATAACAATAGTAACTCATTTTCTATTTTTAAATTTTAGAAAACCTTTAATCGGCAACTATGAAAAAAAAAAAAAAAAAATCACATCAATTACTATGTTTAAACTGAAGAATGTTTTATCGCACTAATCGAATATTATGCCTGCACTAATCGAGTTTTGGTATATAAAAATTTCAGCGCACGAATTGAAAACATTAATCAAACGTGCATTAATCGAGGGATTTATGGATAGCAATTTACTAAGCATAGCTTAGATATGGCATAAGGCCGCCGATATGGAGCACTAAGTGAGGATCGAACTCACTACTCAATCGTAATTCATCTAGCGAGAAAAGATTGCTAATCATTTTCTTTATATACTGCGTTATTATGGAAATGAGTTTTTTTTATCTTGTGTGACGCATTTCGTCTTTTAAGATTTCATCGAATTGAAGCGAGGTTTTCGTTGATGGCACACGGCAATTTAAATTCAAAAGATTATGATGTCAGCGTCCCTTCTTGCGCATGTGAAGTTGCATTAATGTAAACAAGTTTCGTCCGAAAGGACGAAATTAATTACAGGAGAATGATTTTGCACTTTACATTATCATTCACATATACATAAGGGGGGTGAATTTCTTTTTCCTCTCCACACATCGCTACCCATAATCGTAATTTATTTATTTTTTTTTTTTATTATACAGACGTTGGTTTACACGTTATTTCACTTATTTTTTTGGCTGGAGGCAGAAGTTTTAAATTATAAATCTCTGGGCTGAGACCCGCTCTGACGATACGTAAATGCAGCATTGACTAAAAGATGACGCTGCATCAAAAGAAAAGTCGGCTTGTAATTGGGCCAGTTAGCGACGTGCCTGTATAGATGAACAGAAACAGTTGGTCTAGCAGGCAGGGGAATGCCAGCAAAGACACCGCATGTTGAAGCCTTTTCGGATGCCCTACTTAGGAGAAACTGAATTGAGAATAGTCAGTGCTAGGGATAGTTTCGTCCAACAGCGCAAATTACTACAAAACCGACACCTTAACACTAGTCATATTCTTACTGTCCTTGTCCGATTTTGATCCTGCATATGGATATCATGCAAGGGGCAAAATATCTAAACTGCCAGCTATGTACAACCACTTTCTCAATGTTAAAAAAAATGGCTTCGAGCGTATGAGGCCTGTAGGTTTTAGCGATGGTTATCCTTCGAACCTTGTGGCTTGACGCTGATTTAATATTTGAGCGAGAAGCATCTGATAATTTCTGGCCACAGCTGGCAAAGAGCAAATTGGTAATCAAGAATAGGTCCCCAAGACAGCCGCACTATTGTAGAAGCGGTTTGGTTAAAATATACCTCAAAAGGTTGTCACAATAGCGAGAAGAAATAGGCTACGATCAAATTTTACCTTGGATATTAGTATCAAACTGCTGTATGAAGTGGTGTACCTCGGTTATGGCAAGTGCGACAGACGCCTTGGACGCCACTGAGCAAGTAATCTGCAGTGCAATATATTAGATTACAAGTACGGAAACCTGAACTTTTCGGATTACTGTGTCGGAGTTAGCTCCTCCTTAATTCCCTAATTATTCACTAGGGGTCGCTCTCCCTACACTATAGATACTGGGCGAATTCTCGCCTCGTTCTCATTTCAGCGAACACCTCTCCAATGTGAGCTCTCGCAAAAAGATAGCGTTTCCCCACTTGCGGGAAGACGCCATGGTGTGTGTGAAAAGTCGAAAAAAGTTTCCCGAAAGTAGACTGGAAAAAAAATGTGCTTTTAAAGTCATACATTAGCCGTTTAAGGGCCATATCGTGTTTTTCGGCAGTTACCTACCTTAAAAAAAAAAAAAAAAAAATGACAGTGATATCCCACAAGCGATATTTACTTCTAACGCACCCTGTATAATAAATAATATAAGAGACGCATTTAGATTTTCATCATTTTTTAATCCAAAAAGTAACATTACAAAAATGTTTTTGCACCCAATTTGTACATGTCTTCGGGATATGACGTGACCGTTTGCTTAAAGATTTTGGATGGAATTTAAGCTTTTCAGCTGATCGAAGACTGATATATATATAAGATGGATATTTATGATCGAAGTTTTTATGTCACGCATTTTTTAAATTTTTTTTTTCGGGGAAAAAGATGAATACTATTTTCCCTTTAGATGATATTTTTTTTTATCTTCTGATGAGTACAGCTGAGGGTTAAGAATGTTAATTTTTTTTCTTTTTTTTTTTCAATAGACATTCAATTTTCTCAGAAATAAATAACTAAAAGAAAATCGGAAAATGTTATCTCCAGTTTCCAATATCTTATAAAGAGAAATGAATTACAATTTGGCAAGTGGTGTGACAAAGAAAGAATGAGGTGTTGACGAGGAGAAGCAATAGAGGGTGTAATGCAACGACTTATTTCAAGAGTTTAGTCTGTATTTACTAAATAAAAAAAAATTACTAAAAAAAAAATTTAGAGAACCATGACAGCAAAGTATTTACGGTTCATTTGATGCTAGTCAGGTGGGGATTGGGGAATGGAAGCATTTCACTTTAAATAGGTAAATTTGGATAAAGTGGCGGCGGTGATAAGTGATTGGCGGGAGATTTTAAAGGAAACAAAATAAGAGCTAGTCTTAACAACTAAAACTGATTTATAATGGAAATGATAGCTTTAAAAATTGGTATAGCCCCTGTGTTTTGGAAAATCCAAAACGAATCAAACAGTTAAATCTTAGAAAAGAAAAATAAAGGAATGAGTTTACGAGTTTTCAAAGCTTTAACTACTCATTTCAGAAGAAAAAGGGAAAAATTTCAAGATACCGCCATTTCAAGTACACACGGTTCAAGAGAAGCGAATAATTTACTTACGATGTTTTTTATATATATATTATATATATATATATATATATATATATATATATATATATATATATATATATATTATATATATATAGAGAGAGAGAGATATGCTATGTTTTGTTACGATGCCGTTCCCTGGATTCGGATAGAGACGTCATTTAAGAGCAAACCGCAACCAATAACTGGAAGAAATTTTAAGTAAGCTCTAAGTTTAATTTTTTCTTCAAGTATAGTGGGGGGGAACAAAACAAAAAACACACGGCAATAAAACTGAGTTTACGATTTAGTGAATAAAGGGAGATAATTCAAGCAAATAACCCAAGGTAAGATTGCACTGTCTAGCAAAGGCGGCGAGAAAATTGCGATGTATCAAGATGAAACTGAAGATGGAACTAAATAAACTAGTCAGGGCGATATTGGTCTGTGTAATGTTTGGGGTGGGGACAGAACCAAGTACGTGCAAATGCCGAGTGGGGAAATAAACCAAAGATTTAATAATCAAAAATGGAGAAATTTACTTCACCTGTTTTTTTTTGTTTTTTTTTTTTTTTTCAGGAAGTTACGAGTTCAGTGAAGTTTCTCTATTTTGAATGATGAGAAAAAATATTAAAGCAGACTAATAATTTTTGGCTGAAGCTTAACTGTCTTGCATATTATAGATCTATACATACGTTTGCCTATGTGAATAGGTTTTAGGTTCTGCATTATTTTAAATGGAGACGAAAGAAAAAGTTACCAGATGCTGTAGGATTCAAGAGTTATAAAACTAACTGCAGATATTATGAATGCCTATTATACAAAAACAGAACAGTTTGAAAGTACTGAAGTATCCATATACGATAAGACAGACGCAAAAGTATCCTTAGAGACCAAAAAGGATAAGGAACAGATGATTAACCTAAAAATGGTGTTTGCCCTGGTAAACTTACAGGTTTCAAGAAGTTTCATGTATTTTGTAAAGAGAGGAAAAGAAAAAGAGCAGCGTACTTCGCCGACTTAATGAGAAACAGGAGAGATAACTGCACATGAAAGATTGTCAACAGTATCCAACATTGCAATCAAATAGAGACTGCCATATTCTAGTTTCAGATGAGCTCTTCTAGGCTTGTTGGTTTCGTTTGATTTCTTCCTGTTGCAGACGGTGCTGTATGAGAAACTGTGCCTTGGCTACACTCAAGGGAGAGCCAGTGATATGGACGAGTCTGTTGCGCGTGCCCGGGGCGTAGACGCCTTTCTTCGATATCTGGATCGTAGCGTTCGTCAGCTGTTGAATCTCGACAATCCCTTTGCCCTTCGGGCCTAGAATTGCCCCGACAATAGTTTCAGGAACTTCCATGTCTTGTTTGGAAGGCAGGACATGCTTATCAGACAGTCCGTAAAGACCCACTCCAAGACCGAACGAGTTATTGTTCAACCCAACATAAGTGGAATCATCTAGCCCTTTGAGAGGACTGCAGGGAATGCCAACTCCGTTACCTGGATAGGTTCCGGAACTCTGCGAACCAAAACCGAGCCGATCTCGAAGGGAATAGAAGTCATTGTCGCTGGTGCCAGATGACGGACTGACAAGGTCACTGCTAGAACCAATAGGACCGTACTCGCATCCGGCTCCATCCCGACAACTACCAACATAATGGGCGGGTGATGGTAATGAAGAGTTATGCGCGCTGTTTGGGCTGGCTAAGCCAGATGAACAGAATGTTGAAGGACTGTTAATGCTGACCATGTTGGGACCATAGCTGAGAGAGGTTAGCGGGGGAATATGACCATAATTCGACAGAGTGAAGTAAGCAGTACTAATCTCTTCAGCTGCCCTATCCGAATAGCCAGAGTTTCGTAGGGTCATTTTAAGATTGCCCAAAATCGGCGAGGAGCTGTAGTTCATCCGACCGAGATTAAGATTATTCATACTGCATGTCAAAGTTTCTGTGAGGGTTTTGTCACTGTACAGGACGTCACCGAAATTATTGTTGCTGTCATTTGAGGAGTCTCTTTGGTTGTACCTGTAAGAGAAGAGTAATTTAGCAAATGTGGCACCGAAGTCAAAAGATGCATAAGAATATTAAAAACATACCTTGTAAGAGGTTAAAAGACATGAATATAATATACACTATAATCTTTAAGTGTCTAACTGCCTTCTGCTTATGTGCCGATAGTTTGTACTTTTGTGGCCACGTGATCGAAGTTTGAGCTTGATCTCTAGTTTACTCGCTTTTACAGTATAAACATAACCGCTCCGCTAGCAGTGTGCACCAAAGAGGAACTTCAGTTATCTTACGGGAATCGGAGTTTAACGTTGTTGTCGTAAGCCAAGTCGAAACTTGGCGCAACAAATGTGGTTCTACAGAATGTAGAGAATACCAGATTTAGTTTCCCTCCTCCACAGCCATGCGAGGAAAGAATGCTTAGAGAGTTTAACACAAGGCACATTTGCAGCAACACAGGGAAACAGCAAGTAACGTGTCTTGTAAATGGATGACAGAACAAAGAAGACTTAAATATAACACCGGTTGGCATTTTTTCCGACCAAAATGTTGTCGGTCAGTGGGCACATGTTTCTGGGTTATTTTTTCCACATTCAATCTGAAAATCAAGTTCATTATTTCTTATCACATAACGTTTTCTCAGTAAAGGATTTCTATTTCTTAAAATATGAAAAAAAAAAAAAAAAAAAAAAAAAAAACACAAACTTCTAAAAAAAAGAAGTATCCCACTAGATTAAAGAACGCATTTTCAGCATTTCTGTTCAGAAAACTATAAACATTAAATCTGTTACGAAACAGATCTTTTAAAAAGGACTCGTAACTGGAAAAAAAAAATAAAAAAATAAAAAAAAAGAATGTTAAATACTTTTTCACACCCAACCCAGTTCTGCGGAATCAGAATCAACGTTGAGTTTAAGCAAGCGAATGAGCCAATTGGAGTAAAGTGCCATGCAGATTTAAATTTTTCCCACTTGTGACAAATGCAGCTATCGATTTTTTTTGCATGCTAGCTTGCTAGTTAACATTCGTGTCAGTCAGCTGTTGGCTCTCACTCTGGCCAGTATAAAATGGCTGCAAACAACATGAAAAAAATCGATTATTTCCACTATCGATAGGAGTTGGGAAATGCAAAGTCGGTCTTAGCGAGAACGCTAACTTGGAGCATATAAATTTTGGTGCAAATCCGTTGAAAATTGCGACCGTGCATAAAAACGACACACACACAAACAAAAACAAAAAAAGACGACACTTTTATAGATAGAGATAAAGGAATGTGGGTTAATATAATACATTATAGCGCGATAGGTTCCTAATGTCGAAGCTTCATCTAGCCATTCCAGTCCAGTGGATTAGGCACCAGACGTCACTTCGTTGCCTAATCCTGGAAATGAAATAGAAACGGCGAACTGGACAAGTCATTACCTAAAAGCCACTCAGAAACACGATATTCCTTGTTACGTATTGAATGGTAAGACATTAGTGGCAATTGTATTTTCATCTGGTTAATGATTTACTAGACAAATAATTCAATTAATTCACCAAGACAATACATGCACATGTTAGCACATCTAGCTAAAAATCAGAAGCCATGAGAATAATGCCTTGTGCAGCTGTTATTTAAGAAGCTCTCAGTTTATACGGATCAACGAAGACTATTTTTATTCCATTTCTTCGGCTAAAAGGAAAGATCTCACCAGCCAATTCTTTGTTATAATGCTGATAAATTGCTATAGCTCTATATAAACAAGGCTAGCGATTATTATGCCAGCACATTTTGTAGGCAGAGCATCCCACCCTCTTCACGTATCCGTCTACCTCAAGATTCTGGCGCGTTACTTACTAATTAGAGAGAAAGTGAAGCTAACCAGACACCTATTACAGTTTAGGCGCATGTACATTAAAATGCGTGATAACCAAGACAATTTTGTAACACTAATATCTATTCTAGTCATAGTGTATGAATCTACATGCATTCCAATTTTTGGACGGTTAAAAAAAAAAAAAAAAAAAAAAAAAAAAAATACTTTTCTTTCCAAAATCGACTATCGATAGTCAAAGTACTCTGACCGGCAGCCTCTTTTACAAGCTTTCAAGCGCCAGAGTTTTAAGGTAAACGACATAAGTGGATGCTCCTTTGCCACATGGAAAAAGAATAGCCATTTTACAAAATTATGCCTTGCAATTATAAGCAAGATTTGCTTAGATATTCGCTAGTCTTGGATATACATATTACATTATCTGTTTGAATTTCTGGGAGGAGTTGTTTACAAGCGGACTATTCCCCCACTTTGTTATTGACGCTTCGACTGTTGGGCCCTTCGGCTTTCATCAGGGTAAACTTCACGGAATTTCGAACTGAACGGTGGATATAGACAGCGAACAAAAGTAATCTATCCTTCAGATTAAATGTTTCAGTTCGAAATTCCCTGTAAGTTACCCGGATCAATAGTCACCTGATGATGTTTATTTTTGTTGTGGGGGAGCACTACTTCCTCAAACCTGGAAGCCTAACAGGTGCTATCATCCCAAGTCAGGGTAGACCTGGGAACAACAACAACAATTGCGGTAGTTCCATGCTCCTCAAAACCTGAAATCTCCCGATCAGAGGCCTTGCTGCCGGATGTAGTTTATCGTCATACCCAGAACGAAAAAAAAAAAAAAAAACAAAAAAAAAAACAAGCGAAGCAATAGACCGCGTGTAAGTAATCAAACGAATTATTCAACACCATGAGAACTTAACAGGTAGTCCCTGTCTGTTCTAGCTTAACAAACATGCTTAAAAAGCTTAAGTGCAGACTTACCTGTCATTGAAGCTGTAGGTAGCAAAAGGCGATCCAGTGGGACTGGCATTTGCTACAGGACCTGGATGGTCAGCGTAGCTGATCGTGGGAAAGTTACCGCTGTAAGGATCTTCTAGGATCTTCTGCAGGATCATGTCCATAGCTTTCCGATTGGAAAGAATGTCTCCAGCAACAGTCACGCAGCGTTCGGGTAGCTTTGTCTCGCGAGACTTTTGAGAGATCTGTACGTAAGCACCACTTTCTTCTTTGATGTGTTCAATGTATTGTCCTCCCTTGCCGATAATGCGACCGGCAGTTGTGTTCGGTACCAGGATTTTCAAGTTCATCAGGTAACCATCCAGCCCGCCACAACTGCTGGTGGTGGTCACTGAACTACTGCTGGAGAAGGTCGATGAACGGCGGTGTAGCTGAGAGAAATAAAAAAGGAAAAGGGAACAGATGTTCAATCAGTTCAGTGCTATATGTGATACATACGTTTGTTTCGAGTCACCACAGACTAAGCAAGGTTTTCCAGCAGCGAGTTGAAGTTTCTTTGTGGTAAACTGGTTGCGCAGTCTGTCCTGCTATATAACCATTAGCTGAGGAGGGGGGGGAAGATGGATTCATATCCCCCCCAAGGATAGCTGTACGTAAGTGAGTGTAATGAACCTGACTGGAATTCGAGCTGTCATTTCTCAATCCGAACCTTTATCCATTACGCAACACAACACATTCCCAGGAACAAAAGAACATCTCGAACCCTCTCCCGAAGCAAATAGGGTTGAATGGTTGGGAGGGGGCCACTAGGATTAGCATGTACAGGGATATCAAGGAAACATTGTGAAACATTTCCAAAGCCTTAAAGATCCAAGATATCAAAGGCTTTACAGTAATCAATTCAAACAGTGTTGAGATTTTAATTTCGATCGGCATTTTGACTGGGACAAATGCCAAGTCAAGTATGGTGCTATTGTTGAAAGCTGCCCTGGAAATATGAAAATTAGTCTGTACTTTACATTTGTTTAACGCAGGTGTCGCTACATTTTTTTTGTTGGGGGGTCAAATACATCGTATGCCTGTCTACTAGAGCGGTTAGCCAATTGTTTCAGCCCCCACCTATGGTTCATACTGCAACTATGCTGAGCAAACCTTAATTACAATTCCTGGGTGAGAGCGCATTACCTGGTGTGATTAACATTTTGAACATGGTCAGTACACTCAAATACGATACAAAAGTTAACTGTTCTAAAACTGCAATAGTGTCAAGTTTAAAACATTAACCTCTTCCCAGTCAATTATTTTGGAGAAACTACATTTTCAGATCCTTTTGTTTTTAATGTAGTATTACTATATTAAAAACAAAAAGGAAAAAATCGTCTGAAAAGAAACTGAGGCACCTTAAGTACCCGGGCGATTAATACCTCTACCAGAAGTACGAGTAGACATATTGAACTCCTTTCAAGCTCAGAACGGCATAAAAAATGAAAACCGTATATACACGTCTACGCCGGAGAAGGGGGTTAATCACTTCAGTTGTGCTCACCATATGGTGAGTAGACTATAAAGTAAAGTAGTGGCATAAATAGGGAAAAGCGACAACCAAGCTGATTGAAGTAGCACTGTTCAATATGTAATATTAGAAACAGAAAACTGATGCTATAGAATTTAGCATACACGTGATAGAATATACAAAGTCAGTTGATGTTTAAGTTTCATTATTTTTCCAACGTTAACCATCACCACGAAAATCATTGCTATAGCAGTCTTGTTACCGGGTAAAAAAAAAAAAAAGTTTAGTTTGAAAAATTTAACAGTTAATAACATATGTACAATAAATGTGCGTACTTGGACTAGAATAGTCCCTATCCACGCAAATTAAAGGGTTCAATTCGGAATTGCATATAGGTCACCCAAATCAATATACAACTGATGAAGGCCCGAGGGTACAACGACTGTCGTGATGAAGTAAATTTATTAAATAATGATAACGCCACCCCAGAAATTCAGGTAAAAATTAAATGATGTTAAAATTGTTAAGATAATTTTATTGAATGAAACCTTGCCAACAGCAAAAATTTAAAGCGAGGATGTGCATACACAATACTGGCTTGGGTCAGTTCAAGTCTTATATTGACTTCTGAAGAAAAGAAAAGAAAGGAAAAACCAGGCGTAAAGTTATTGGTAAATGATTAGCTTTGATGTGATAATTCCAAGATAGAAAACAAATTCGCCATTACATAGTGCAGGTTGAAGAGGAGGTCAACAAAAACAATTACGGCTAAATAAACCAGTCTTTATCAGCCAATGAGAAAAGCCAATCTAAACTCAGTAAAATCACAGAAGAGCGGGAACGCTCATTATAACAAAAAAAAAAAAAAATTTCATTTTGCCGACTACGCAGTATAGTAAGGTCAGTTGGAGACTATCTGTGAGAAAAACAGAACACCATGACGCAATTTACTCCGCCATAAATTTGGAAACGGCATGCTGTACTGCTTGCCACTCGCACCGGAATTTCAAATTGAGTGTTTGGGTGTCAATCTGAGGAAATTGTAGAAGATTCGGAAAGAGTTGAATAAGTAATGGCGATTATGAAGGTACGGCAGCTCAGGAAACAGATTAAACACAGGCCTACATCAAGTGCCTTCAGTGGGTAATGCTGGCCTGAGCCATGATGGTGGCTGCTGGAAGACCCTATGTCTGGCAACAGGACTGCAACCTGCCACACAAATGGTTTGGAGGCCGTGGTTGAAGCCAATAATGATTTTGAATAAATTGACTTTAGTATTTCAAGATTGTTGTGTAATGTTGGTAAATGTTAAAATGGGATCAGTTATTTTCATTTTTGAGTAATTTAGACAGTTTATCCATCGCGCATTATAATATACTATACTCACAAAGAAAAATTTAAAAATAAAGTAAAAAATATGCTCTCGTGAAAGTTTAAAACAAGCATTAGTCAGCAAACTCACTTTACTTCGTTGAGTGACAGCGCCTTAAAAAAAAAAAAAAAAAAAAAAAAAAACAAAGTTATTTACAATTCTTCCCCATTAACTTAAAGCTCGTTTTTTTTTTCTACTTCTAGAACTATCTTGTCCAGTCGTCGTAGGGTACTCAAGCGTACTGCAGCTATAGCAACATTGGTGTCTCCAAGGCAAGTCGATGATATCTTTTCAGTGATGTTTTCAATTCAGTGTATTCCATCTAAATTGGTTATCACCTCAAAACAGAACCAAGTCTGCCTTGTTATGCTTGTTACATATATTAGTTAGTTTTGGATTTTTTCTTCTGATGTTCCAATGTAGATCATCTTAGCATTTTTTTTTTTTTTGGTTCTCAGTAAACAAGTCATCTTGTGAAATTTGTTTAACGCTGACATTTCATTTCAGTTTAGGCACCGCTTTGAGATGAAAGGCTAGTTTTTGTTTGCTAATATTCACCCAATACAAAATCCAAGGGTCAATCTCCTGATTTAGCCCCCTTCAGACTTCCACCTTTTTCGATCGCTTTCACAATTTTTGCGGCGTTTCGGTTAAGAACGATGTTCAACTTCCAACATGGTTTGATTAACATTTCGGGTCAAAACTTGGTGATTTCTGTCGTCGAGGAGTTGTACAGTTAGTGGATCGCAAACAATAACGAGGAATACATTGAATGGATTCATCAGAACTTAAGTATTAAAAAATCTACAAGGAGTTCTGCTTGTAAATATTAAAGGATGAAACTAATTTCTCGAATTTCATAAGTTTTTTTTTTGGGGGGGGAATGTTAAAACCCCCTAGAATTTATATACTAATTTTACGCAAGAATTTCGAACGTTCTAAAATCAAATAAAAAAATCCTTTCGTCTTTTTTTCTTAAAAACTTTCTTTTAAATCAAGTTTGAAGCATTTTTCATCATAGTATTTTTTTTTTTTAGCGAATTAGTTGAGATACCTCATTAATGAATTAGTGTAGGTATCTCCACTATAATCTGAAATTGTTCCAAAGACTCCGGACACACAAACAGAATATTCAAGCTAGCTTTGTTTGTAGCTGGGTTAAAAAAAAAAAAAAAAAATCTTCAACGAAATTACGAAATATTCAATTTTACACAAACCAAACGAAAAGATTCTGGAGCAGATGTCGAAATAGCATTTTCCATACGAGAACTTTTATACATGTGACAGTTTTGTTTATCTTTTTGCCTTCAGAATTGTCTTTATATTTGTATAGATTAAAGTTGAGTTTAGCTTAACAGCCTGTTTGCAGTATAGGCCACAAGCTGGCTGTGAGGTCGTTGAAGAAATATAAATGGATCTGAGCAGATGGACACGCTCAGAAACTGGCAGATGCCCATGAGGAAGTCACCGATTTTACAGTGTGTGTTGATGTGCTTATCGGAGTAAGCCTTTTGCACATTTGAACGGAAGGTTTCACAAGGCAGACAAGTGGCAGTCAAACGCCTATATATGACGCAGTCTAATAAATACCATACACGATAGGGTGATCAGGTCTTTCGATTCTGACATTTTCCCGCAGTAGGCTTGCATTTCTTTCTGCAGTAGACTGGTTGGCAACCAAGGCTATAGAACTTTGTCCTATTCAATCCATAGCTGATAGAAGATGGATCTTTTAATTCACCCAAAGTAATGTTAAGTTACTTATCGCAAATATTTCACCCAAAAATACATTTAAGTGTTCTTTTATTAAATTGCCACTCGAAATAATTGTCAAGTCAAAATTTGTTTAGCTTGCCTCGCAACAACTCCAACGTAAAAAAAGCTTTTGGCTTTATCGAGGTGAGCACGAATGTAAACCTCATTTAGAAATAATGCACTAAAGTCGCCCACATCTGGGGCGATCGCAAAGGTTAACCCAACCAGAGTACAATGGAAGTGACTCGCTCTGGGAGAATTGTGTAAATTTTAGTAAATATAATTTTATTGGGGGTGTAAATTAACATAAAAAACCCAAGATGGATTCATAAACACCAAGCGAAACTAATGAAGTTTAATTTAACGAAAATGAATAAATTCGACGGGAATTTATGAAAACCGAGGCTTTATCCATTACATCACATTCCCAGGAACAAAAGAACATCTGGAACCATCTCCTGAAGGAAAAAGTTTGCCTGGTTGGGAGCGGGCCACTGGGATTAGCGTGGACATTTTAATCCCGATGGGCATTTTGACTGGAACAAAATACAAGTCAAGTATGGTGGTTATTGCCGAAAGATGCTCTGGAAATTTGAGAACTAGTCTGTACTTAACTATTTGTTTAACGCAGGTGTCTCCCAATATTTTTTTTTGTGTGGTGGGGGGACAAATATCTTATGCCTGTCCACTAGGGAGGTTAGCAAATTCTTGTTGCAGACCACATTACCTGGCGTGATTAACATTTCAAAAAAGGCCAGTACACTCAAACCCTCAGTCACGATGACTTACGACTTCGTGCTAGCACAACCCTCAACGGCTCCCGAATAGTTCAGTCTAGTCACATTTCCCAAAAGTGTCGGAGAAAGTTAACGTTTTAGCCACTCGGTCACGTGCCCACGAAATAAATCGCAATGATTTATTAAATTTAATTTCCAATCCAATAACGATGCCTGTATGCTGCTCATCTATTACGTGCAACTCCAATTTCTTAACTTATATTATTCAGGGCTTCTTTGGTGCATATATATATATATATATATAAGAGCGCAGTAAACAGCATATACATCGGCTAAGATGTCTACACCGTAAAAATTTTAATTCGGAATTGTAATTTCTCAAAAATACGCACTACAAAAAAAAAAAAAAAAATTAAATATCTATTCGGATGTATAATACGCATCTACACATTTGTCAAAACTGACATTAATAAAATCAAAATTAAGCGACTAAAATAATGTTGAAAGTTACCATGCGGTTTTCCAGATAAATGGTAAAAGGAAAAAAAACAGAATTAGAACTCTTTGTAAAATGGATTCAGGAATCTTTGGATTCCGTCAATGAGGATGTTGTAAAGAGAGGTTTCAAGAAATATCTCACGACAGCCATGGATGACATACTTTGGCAAGAGAATGAAGAGGCCGAAGATAATTTTGAACAGGATAATATTGTGAATGATAATTTGATGACAATTTAGATGTTGATTCTATAATAGAAAGTAGTGATGAAAATTAAAATTTCAATAAATTATTAACTTGATATCCTTTTTTCTTCGAAATTGACTTTTTTATAAGTTTTTTTTTCTTCGCCAAATAAAAAGTGCGGTTATTGACAAGTTTGACAAAAAAGTTATTTTTGGATTTAAAACGAAAAATTGGGATATCTTATTTTAGAAGTACGTATTTAAATCAGTAACGAAAAAATATTTGTTTCAACCTTCTTATTAATACGCACCCCTTACTATCACCTGTAATTTTACAGTAAAAGAAAAAATATGCGTATTATTTTCGATAAATTACAGTACATCGACACAGTGAGACATGTAACAAAAACGTTCCAAAATTTTTCTATTAATAATATTCTAGCGATAAAAACGTCCATCGACTAAAAAAATGCTAGATAGTGGATGAGAAAAGCTGACTTCTAACAAGTGTAGGTGTCACGACACGTACATCGCAAACCAAAGCCGATTTATGACATGTGATTAACAAGATAAAGAAGCACATTATCCGCACTTATGTTACGTACGAAGAAATAAAACGCAAATGACTTAGAGGATATAAAATGGTTAAAGTGTATACGTTTAGATGAAAATAATGGAGAATCTTTCTGTATGTCCGGGGATGTAAACCAAAATAAACAGGTGACAAAATTGGTAAACACGTACAGTGGCGATAATTACGGGGAAGAACTAAATTCAAAGAAGACCTAAGAATAACAAACAATTTCAATTAAATAATTTCGCCCATCATTGTACTTAGATCCCCCCGTCAATAAGCGATTTTCAACCTAATAATTAGCAGTAGGTAAAGTAACAATAGAATGCCATAGCCGTACTTATCAAAATAGTGACGAGGTTGCATAGTTTTATTAAAATTGCCTCCCGCCAGAAATGTGTGCTCGGTGAACATGTCAAAGAAGGGGGTTAATAAGCTGAAGAGATTTTGAAACCCCTGTTTATAAAAATTTATCTCAAGGTCCGATGGTTCCTTGTTTACTGCGAGCGGATTGTAAATTCTTAAAGTGATGTTATTTTTACAGCAATTGTTCTAATTAGCTACCCTTGGTAGTTCGACCATGTAAATTTAAACAGATCATTAGGTTGGTAACTAGGCTGCATAGTCTTTTTTTATTTTCTCACCAGTGGAAATCGTTCCTTGCTTCCCTGCCGCCTACATTTTAAATGTATCGTCAGTCGCCATCTTATGAAATCTGTTCATTGTCATCCTTTCCCTCAGTAACTCCATGCGCCTTGCTTGGGGTGGAATGACTTAAAGAAAACAGCTTGCCAACATTTTGTTCGCGGAAAAGTGACTTTCGTCTTGAAGTGTCGTTTGGGTAAGTGATTGAGAAAACTAAGACACCAATGTAGTTTTTGTTGGGGGGGATAAAAGAATTGTAAAATATTTTAGTTCGTAAACGAAAAGTGCTGCTTGTAAGAGTTATTGAGAGAAACTATTAGAATTTGTTACAAAATTCACAGTAAGTACCATTTTGTATTCTGGTTGAATACTTTCATATAACCCACACCCACCAAGAACAGATTTCCCCATCCCGTTTAGCTTTGCAAAGTTGTAAATGGAAAATACGGGACGAGTAGGATTTACCTGATTAGGTGTCCAAGGTAAATTAAATCAACTTGGTATCTTTCACGGTAAGGATTGTTAGCCAGATTAGGGGTGGTGGGGGTGTCAGACAGGAAAGATTTAGCACATTTTAGCCGTTCGTAAAAAAAAAAAAAAAAAAAAAAAAAGCAACAATTACGCCTGTTTTATTTATTTCACTTTTAAGAAATAAAAATTAGCGAATTTCACAAAATCAGTTAATGCGAGACATGTCAATCAGTATCAAAATACGGAGCAATACCACGCTATACGGAACGGTTAAAAACCCTAACTCTATTGCTAGAAAAAGTTAACAGCCACTGCTGCAGTCCCTCCCCACAAAACTGAAACCAGAAGTTTAAAGTAACTTACTTGACGAGAACGTTCGTAACTGGAAACTCGGTCGTCAAACCGCGAATTAGATAGTTCAACCGGCTTGTCCTTCATCTTATCCATAATGAAGTAAATCACATTACGAACAGCTTCCAAAATGCCAGTGATGAGGCAGACCCTTTCAGCAGTGCCAGGATAAAAATCGTTCAGTTTGGTCATTCGAATCCGGGCCCCAGTCTCTTTCTGGATTTGTCCAATAGCCTCTCCTCCTTTGCCAATTATAGCCCCGGCTATCCCGCTTGGTATTAACATTTTCAGATTAATAATGTCATCTTCGTCGTTTGCCATACTTAGACCGACTGGACAATACGTGTCGCTCATTGTAACAAATGTCGCGTCCGTAAAAACCCACAACTTTGCCTTGTTAGCGGTGCCGGGACAATAGTAACAGCGGCTGGTCGTTGCCTTCTTTGGTTGGTTATATGCACAAATGACAATAGGGAGACACATAGACTTGGCTTCTCCTCGATAAAATGAGACTAACCGAGTTGAGCTGCACTCGATGTAACCGACCAATCAGAAGCCAAGATTACTGGAAACCCGGAATGATTTTTCAAGCAATTTCGTATTATCTATCTCAAGACTAAGCCTATGAATAAGAAAAGAAAATTTACAAACAAAAAATACTACCTGTGTTCCTTAATAGTTGTTGCATTTGCATACACTATTCATACGCTGAACTTAGCAACAATTATGGGACAGAGGTAGAACTTGCGTGTTAAACAATTCTGTGAAATAAATTTAAATGGATTATCTTTACTTGAAAAAGGATTTTTAAAAAAAAAAGCATCATGATATTAAATCATTTTTTTCTGAAAACAAAACTATTTTTCCTTAATTCAGTTTTTTTTTTATATTTTAATTTCAATTAATTTTTAAAAATTTCTTTTTTTTTATCTCTGTCCATATTTCTGAGATGAGGTATTGTAACTATTTACATTGTTCGGTCTGTTGTCCTCATCTTTGTTGTCATATTCACGACACGTGGAACTAGAACAATCAAACCCGATGGGCGAAATAAAGGGTTCGAATAGAAATTCCAAACACCTGAAGAAGGCCGGCCAAAACATCATGAATATGACAACAAACATGAAGACAATGATAGTAAATAGTATAAATATTCTTTTTATCTTCATTTCAATTGCTTTATCTGTAATTGGACTAATAATTATAGGAATATTATCTTGAATTTTTTTTTTTTTGCTATATACTCGCCGCGTTGTGCCACATCTAAGCTACGCTTAGTAAATGAGTAAATCCGTCGTTCCCAACATGTGACGCATGCCCTACTGTGAGGGGTGATTTTTATGGGGTGGGCAATTCAGGAATGAGTTATTAACAGTGATTTTTTCTAGTGAGTCTATGTGAGTATGAATGTGTGTGCTAGTTAATACATACGGTGCGGAGACAGTGATGTTATTGCCCTGCTTGCTGGGGTGAAATGATTACAAAGAAAAAACGGAAACAATTCTAAATAATATGACTACTACTAATATTACTAGTGTAAATAAAGTAATTGAGATTAAATTGAAAGAAAGAATACTAGTAAAAAGTAATAGTTGAAAATACTTCATCTAAAAAAATTCAAGATAATATTACTACTACTTATGCTACGAGAGGAAATAAAGCAATTGAAATTAAGATGAAAGGAATACTAGTTAAAAAATAATAATGGCTGACAATTCTTCATCTCATAAAAATTCAAGATAATAGATACTTATCCGTACGCCCACGTCACAACTGAATGTGACACAATGTGGAATTTCCGAAAAGCTATAGAAAAATTACTCAAGTCTCCTTGGTACTTTCCCCTTTTGGGGACGCCTCAGACCAGTCCCCTCCCGGATGAGTCCCTGAGGGAATACATCCCTGGAGCTTGAGCTGATAGCCGTAAAGATGCCAAGTATATAGGGCAGATGGTTCCCAACCTTTTTGACCATGGCCCATTTCAGCAACTCTAAAATCCTGATGAACCCACCTCCCGCCCACATATGACATATAATTGTTATTATTCAAAAAGTGAACTCCTATTCACTTGGAGGAAGCCTAAAAGACCATTATCTTGGTCTGAACAAACTTCCATAGAACATGGCATCCATGAAAGAGAAAAATAAATGAATGAAAGGGTAGTTGAAGTACTGAGGAAATACTAAGAAATTGGTAAAAAGAAATAATTACATAGTTAAATTCCCAGATCAACTCTGTGGCCAAAACAAAGTTGATTTGGGAATTTAACTATATTGTCGACATGGGAAAAAAATCCCTTACTATAAAGGTAATTTACATTAACCAGAAAAATTTTTTAAATTTGGATTTTTTAATGTAACTATAACAACAAAAACATTTCGATTTCATTTTTGCCTTGAAAAAGTCGAAAGACGAAACGCGTTGGCAAAATCTAAGATTTTTTTCCAATTGTCATTTTATACCAAATAATTATATATATATATATATATATATATATATATATATATATATATATATATATATATATGTAATTATTCGTGTACATCCATACATTTTTCCAATTGTCATTTTATACCAATATATATATATATATATATGTGTGTAATTATTCGTGTACATACATACATTTTTCAATTGTCATTTTATACCAAATAATATATATTATATATATATATATATATATATATATATATATATATATATATGTATGTATATATATATATATGTGTGTATGTGTGTGTGTAATTATTCGTGTACATACATACACACAAATATTTTTCATACTGTAGAGGATGTATGTGTTAACTCACATACACAGTCATATTCAAACAGACTCACTAGAAAAAAGTCACTGTTAATAAATCATTCTCAAATTGGTTCCTTGTGAGCTGTGCGCCCCAGAAACAAGGACCTCAACTAAGGTGTGTCTTTTGTAAGTAAGAGTTGTCTTCTCTTGAATAACTGGCTGTTTGAGGAAGACAGTCTCTGAACAAAAATGTTATCACCGCTAAAAAATAAAATTCATCGACTTTCGACGTATTCTCCCGTCATCATCAGACATGGAAATTATTTTCTTTTTTCTATTTTTTTATTTCCTTGCATATTAAAGGAAGACCTAATACAGTTTTTAATTTTAAAAAACAAGGATCATAACATTCATCGAGTTGTTTTAGTGGGTTAATGCATTTTTCAAATTTTATTAGGGAAGTGAATTCGTCATTTTTATCTCATTAACTTTATTAATTTACTTTTTGTGTGAATGATTCAGTATAATATAAATTAAACTGCACCACATTATATATATATATATATATATATATATATATATATATATATATATATATATATATATATATATATATTATATTCCTTCTATCTATCTATCTATCTATCTATCCTTTTATTTCAATGAATACCGGTGGAGAACAGCTGTGAAGTTAAAGGTACAAATGTGTCTCCCAGTGCTTAATGAAAAAAATTGTTTTGTTTTTTTCGTTTTTTGTACAGCTCGTATCACGGCCTGACTTTGCGAATAAAGATTTTCCGCTAGTTTTCCGCTACTGCTTTACAGGCCTTCCCTTATCGTTTGAAGAAGCAAACGTGGAATTACCATTACGTCTGCGCATGCGAAGCTCTATTGCTCATTACCAATCTCCCCTTGAAACTAAAGGTTCAAAACCTATGACGCAGCAAAGTGGGAAGAAGGCTTTGAGTTCATTTTTTTCTTCATCTTTTCTTTTCTACTGGTGTTTAGTTTACATCGCGAATGTGTCTGGTTGAACCAACAGTAAAGGTCTGCCGCCTCATCCAAGGAGTAATTCACAAAATATGACTGACCTGAATTAATGAAAATAAATGTCAATTAAGACGAAGTAACATTTTTTTTTTTGATTCTCACTTTCCATCCTTACCTTCATAGTGTTTGCAACATCCCATAATAGTTGTTAGATTTGCATACACATTTCATACGTTAAATTGAATAACTATTATGGGACAGATTTTTTTTCTTTTACTACTGCTGTCATTTAATAGTTTTTATTTCAACCCCAGATAAGGTAATAAATCCACTAAGAGGCAAGGGTGTGAGAGAATATTAGTTTGAGAGAATATGAGAAAAACAAAACATTATTAACGAGAGAGAACAATGAAATGAATAAAAGAACACGCTGAATAATTCGTCCAAGCGGGAATCAGTCTGATATATTTATAAGCCTACCATTCGTCCATGCTTCGAATATTGCTGACACATATGGTTTGGTGGTCCTGCTATATACTTAGAGATTCTTGATAAAAATCCAAAGAAGAATCTGCAATGTTATTCGTCCTGATCTGGCAGCTTGGCTTCAATCACTTCTCCACCGCTGTAACTTCCCTGTGCCTTTTCTATAAATATTTTCATGATAATTCTAATGTACTTTTCTCTAAAGCAGTGGTTCCCAAACGATGTAGCAGAAGAGAATAGCAGGTGAGGTGGAATGATTGAAGACAATCAAAGATTTAGAAACAGGTTCAAAAAACTCCATATGCCAAAAATAAATAGGATTTCAAAATTTAAAATATTATTATGGATTACTTGTAATTGCAATATGAGTCCCAGTATAAATAATTATTGACTGATTTTATCATTGTGATATCTCTGCATTATATCAAGTACTAGCAGTAGAGCCCGGCGTTGCCCGGGGATGTAACAGTAAGAGATAGATCAAGTATCGACCATCATAAAGATTGAAAAATAAAATTGACAAAGATTATTGTTTAAGGTTGACGGACACGCATGTCTTAATTAGTTTTTTTTTTTACGATTTGGTCAAACCCAAACTCAAACAAAAACATTGTTTTCAATCGTTATGAGTCTACCGATTGAATAGAATTTTATTATAAACAATTGTCTTGTAAATGGAATTTTTAAAGCATTCTGAATGTAAAAAATAAAGAAAAAAGTGTGCAAGACAAAAAAAAGTTTTGTTGAAATCGGTTGAAAAATGTAGGAAATCCAATCCCATATATAAACGAACACACACACACACACACACACACACACACACACACACACACACACAAACAACCTGGGATTTATAATAAGTATAACTCGATATGAGTTGTCCCACTTTCATTCTCGCGATACCTCTTAATCGTGTTTTCAAATTGATTTTGTGCAAAAACAATTGTGTTTTTCCAATTTTTGGTGCTGTCAGAACCACCGCAAGGTAATTTTACGTAGTCCTGTGAAGTTTTGTTGAAATCGGTTGAAAAATGTAGGAAATCCGATCCAATACACACACACACACACACACACACACACACACACACAACCTGGGTTTTATAATAAGTATGATTAAGAATATAAGTAACTAGGATCCGTAAATTGGATGAGAGCGTTATCGATGATAATGTTCTGAAAGCTTATATTCAGCACATGGTGACTGGAATAACTGATTATATTCGTTGTCAAATCGACCAGGAAGTGGTGGTATATTACAGTC